TGCTGCTGCTGCTGCATCTGCTGCAGCATCCTTGCTTGCTGCTAAGGCGATGAAGCGGCGGAGACAGCCATCAGGGCCCTCTGTCTCGATGCCTTCAAGACAGTCAAACTGCTGCTGTTGCTGCTGTTGCTGCTGTTGCTGCTGCTGCTGCTGCTGCTGCTGCTGCTGCGGGTGGTGCTGCTGCTGTCTACCAGCAGCAGCAGAGTTGCTCAGCACATACAAAGTCGCAAGGGCCCCGCTCCGGTCTCCTTGAAGGGCCTCCGCTCGAGCCAGCAGCTTCTGGCAGCAGACCCACAACTGCACACAAAAAAAAGCAGCAGCAGCAGCAGCAGCAGCAGTGTCTTCCTCGGCCACAGTCCCTGCTGCTGCTGCTGCAGCAGAAGCAGCAGCAGCAGCAGGTTTGTTGCCGTTCGGGAACAACGACAAATACAAGAGGGACCTCAGAGAGAAAAGAGAAGCAAAGAGGGAGAGAGAAAAAGAAACAAGGAGAAAAGCAAAGGACCATCGATGCAGCAGCAGCAGCAGCAGCAGCTGCTGCTGCTGCTGCTGCTGCAACAGCATCTGCAGCTGTACAATAGGTGGGGACCCCATAGAAACAAAGGGAGACAGATGAAGGGGACAGACACTGTAGAGACAGTCTAACGAGAAAGGAGACAGATAGGAGACAGTGAGAGGAGACAAACAAACGCAGAGAGAGAGAGGAGACAAAAGAGGGGAGAAATGAGGAGACAGGCTGATAAGGAGACAGAAAAGGAGACAGGTTATGGATAGATGCATCCAGAGACAAAGAGACAGAAAAGGGGACGCCAACTGAGACGAAAAAGGAGACAGAAAAAGGAAGGGGAGATAGGTGAGGAGCAAAAGATAAGGAGACAGAAAAGGAGACAGATTCATGGGGAAGAAACGAAGACAGACAGGCAAGAATATAGAGAAGGAAACAGAAAAGGAGAAGCAAAAGGAGACAGCTGAGGAGACAGCTGAGAAGGAGACAGCTGAGAAGGAGACAGCTGAGAAGGAGACAGCTGAGGGGACAGCTGAGGAGACAGCCGATGAGACAGCTGCGAAGGAGACAGCTGAGGAGACAGCCGAGGAGACAGCTGAGAAGGAGACAGGTGAGAAGGAGACAGGTGAGAAGGAGACAGGTGAGAAGGAGACAGTCGGCTTACATCAGTCCATGGTTCTTTGAGGAAGAAGGGCAGCATGCGGTGTATAGCGAGCTGACATTCTCT